TGCGGTCTAGCTATTGTAGTTTAGTTTTAAATTATTTTTGTCCTTTTTCTAGCCCTTTGTGTTGCCTCTTTTGTTAGTAGAGCGATATATTACCTTTTTAGTAAGACATGGAAGTACTAGAAATCGTTCATTCATTTTTTTCATCTTTAAGTCTACTTTTTGTCTACAGCTGAGTCCAGGAGATTCTGTGATGGATATTAGACAATTTCTTCTTGATGCTCCAGAGACCTGTTTCTATACTTGCTATGATCTAATACTGCATACTAAGGATGGCTCAGTTCACCATCTGGAGGATTATAATGAAATTTCTGAAGTGGCAGATATTACTATTGGTGGCTGCTTCCTAGAGATGGTTGCCGGTATATCAACCTAATGACATGTTTTTTCTCATATTCTTGATTTTATTTTGTATTATGAGTTTGAGTCGGTAAACCTTTTTGGCTGTAATGGCTATGCAGCTTTATATGATGAAAGATCTATAAGGTCACATGTTCGGCGTACACGAGAACTGCTATCCCTTTCCAATCTCCATGTTTCATTATCAACATCACTAGCCATGCAACAAGAAAGCGCCCAACAAAAAAATCAAGGTTTTTATATTCTTTTCTCCTATATATTATTTATCCTATATAGATAACCTATGTACGCACCAACAATGATGGAGCTGCCCTTGGTACACCTTGGTTTATTCTCTTTGCAAATACATGTGCATAAATCATGTTCTCTGACTGTCTCTATCTTTACCTAAGGCTGATGCGTAGGATATTTTTCCTAGTAAAATACTTGCTATGTCTGACATCGACGGTCATGACATGCATGTCGATCCACTTAGGAATTTATCCCCACTGCTGAAAAGTCACACCAGTCCTGAAAGCACACCTTTATATAAGACATGTCACATATCTATGCTGAAAAGCCACACCTTTATATTCGTCTCTAGACCGTGGAGAACTGCCATGTCATATCCATATATCCATATTGAGAATGACATTGTTTTCGGTCTCAGATATCTGCAAATTGTTTCTTGTGACCCGTAATTAAAATTTCCCTTGCATTATATTCTCGAAGCCACTCATACTGTAAGTATTAGATGAATCTGTTATACATATTCATGAGCATAGCATGTATAAAGACTTGCATACATGCATGCGTACATACGTATATGTACAACTCATATGTCATAGACATTCACACTTTGATTCACTCCTAATAGTAAGAGTTAACACATTCTGACCCCTTTTACCATGGGATATGGTACATATGAACCAGTCAACCTCCTAAAAAGATAGGAATAAATGGAAATAAAATAGTGGTGGGATTATTATTTGTATATGGTGGATGATTTATTAACTCCTACTTTAATAGTGCATCCAAACTGAGCAATCGATGTGTGTATTTCATCAATGTGTCTGGTGACGCTTGTCACAGTGTCTGTATGCATTGTGTGCATTTGTGGTCTGTGTGTGTGGTCAGGGAAAATGGGTGTTAATGCATCTCCCATCCCTGTTTAGTGGGGCTATTAGAAAATTTCAAAGGAACAGAGACATTTGGAAATAAAATAACTACTGATATTGATGTGAGAAGTGTAAAGTTAATGTGCATGCACAACATGTTCCCTTTGTGTCTTAGTCATGTAAATAGAAAGCACCATTAACATGGTGTTCTTTCCAATTTATCCTCTAGTCATGGTTCCTATTTATATTTGTACGTGTGTGTACTTTGTTAAATGTTAATTATATTGTTGGAATATAGGTCTATAACCTTCAACCTCACCACAACTTCGGAGTTTTGGTGTAGAGGAAGGGACCTTTAATATGGTTTCAGCAAACCGGGTTCAATTCCCACTGCTCACACATTTAAAGCAGGTTTAAAAAGAATAGTACGATGTGAGGCCAGGTTTTGGCCCATGAAAAGAGGCACCCAACTTGCGAGAGCTTGTTAGAATATAAAACTAGAACCCTCAACCTTCACTACTACTTTGGAGTTTTGATTAGTTGAAGGGACCTTTAACACTTACATGTGTATTTGAAGTTTTTCAATGAGAATTTCATCGTGAGACTTTTGTAAGAGCTGCAGAATGGGTTATCTCCTTGCTCAGTGTTCATCTTATCAACACATGAAGCTAGTCTATGAATAATAGATTAGGTAAGTTTAAAAATTTCCTCTGATTTCAAAGTTCATTGCAAAAAAAATGTTGAGACTATTTTGAATATTTGTATCATGGCTGGGTCGTTCAAAAGAAGGTTCACCATTCACCATGGAGTTCTCCCATTCTTTATTTTGGGAACTAGTTCTCACCAAAGATCTACAACTGTGTGTGCTTGGGTGTGGTCTTGCATGCACGCATTTGTGTGTGTTGTGTTTATTATATTACATTATTTTTTTTCTTTAGTATGTAGCCATTTCGTTCTAAAAATTTATGTTTTTCACCATTCTGTCGTACAGATACGAAAGTGGAGACTCCAGAGCCTGAAGGCTTGGGTTTTATGGAAGATTTGACCTTTTCTCCCAGCAATTTGGTTGTGTCATCACCTAAAGACATCAAATGTATGGAGAGCATTACATTTTCTTCTTTCAACCCTCCCCCAAGTCATAGGAGGTAACCCTTTTGTATGGTTGTCTACTTTATTTGGAACTTATTCCTTTCAATTATTTGAACATCGTGCTAGCAATTTTTACCAGAAATATTTTCTCTAGCATAGCAATGTGCAAACCCAATCTATGTAAACGCCAACTAGTGGAAGCAATAGTTAATAGAAAATTAAGGCAGTTAGCCTGCAGATTGATGTCAAATCTTTACACTTCTCACTATTCATTTATTTAAGGTTTTGTATCGAGGTATAAAATCTCATCTTTTTTCCTTACCTTTTTCAGGCTTGCTGGAGATTTGATTTATCTGGATGCAGCAACCTTGGAAGGAAATAAATATTGCATCACTGGAACCACAAAAGGTTTTCATGTGAACTCTAGCACAGGAGTTGTTCTGAACCCCAAACCTCTTAAACCTGCTTTTGAGGCGACCACCCTTATTGGTCTGCTCCAGAAGATCAGTGCAAAGTTCAAAAAAGGTTAAAACTTTTCAGAAGTGCTTCTTGCTGAAACGAGATATTGCTGGTAGTTGGTTAATAGCCATATCTGACGCTTTGGCTGAATGTTCTTCAGGTTTTCGTGAAATCCTGGAATGGAAAGCTTCCACTCACCCTTTTGAAAATGTTCAGGCTTTGTTACCACCTAACTTGTGGTTGGGTATCTATCCCGTCCCAGGTAAGCAAAGACCTCCAGTTTTGGTATAGATAGTTCATTCTCAGAACTATGTTGGTTGCATCCTAGAAGTATGCCTTTAAAATGACGGAAATGAAGTTTCTCATCTTTCCTGATTCTGGTCCGTCCTTTTTCTACCATATGGAATTTTAACCTATATTTTGCTAGTCTGTGGAAATTGTTGAAAGTTTTTTAACAACTTATTTACAGTTATGTTTTCAATGACACGGTTTCTTCTGGTGTTATGTAGCTTTAATATTAGACATGACACTTTTCTGTGATTAATATTGAAATTACTTCTCAAAGTGGCGTGTTTGATTCTTTTTTAATGTTTCAGCACTCAGTAAATATCAACACCTCTTGGCTAGTACCTGTTTTCAGTGCAAGTTGAAATGACAGTTTGCGTGGTGTTAGGTAGTTTGGAAAGCATAAATTATCCACCTCGTCAATGGCCAACTATGGTGCATTCCAAATGCAAGTTTTGTGCAAGAACTCCATGGAACTTGATTTTTATTTTAGACTTTTATTTTATAGAAGATTATCGATGCTTGTTTTCTTGGCCAATCAAACCTGGCATTTCTCATCAAGTTAACTTAACCTATTTAGAGTCGAGCTATAAGTTTGAACCTATGATACCCCGACACGGCCAAATTGGTCCCGTACCCGTGTCGTGTTTTGGGTACGGATTCGCACCCAAGAGGCAGTGACACGGCGATTTCATGCGTGAGGGGGAAAAATCAACACAAAATTCTAAACCCAGGAACCCCAGAAACCAAAATCCTAGAATCCATACCAGAGCTTGGTGGGCTTAGGCTTGTGGCGGTTGGGAATGGGAGTCTTCACGTCGTCAGCAAGGTAAAACTTGGGCGGTTTCTCGGCGGGTTTAACGGGTTCAGGTTTCTTGTCGTGTTTGGGGAAAGATCTGTCGTTCTTGGCCTTGATCACCCACATGTCTCGCTTGTGGTACATTCGCCGATCCCTCGAACGAGATCTGGGTTCCTGGATGAAACCCTAGCGGTCTTGTGAGGGGCCATTAATGGAGGACTGGGAGACGGAAACCCTAGAGATTGGCGAGAAGAAATGGGAGGAGGTGACGAAGACGGAAACCCTAGTGGGGGGAGGATGAGGTTTTATATGGGGAGGGGTTTGGGTTTGGGTTTGGGTTCGGGTTTTTTTCATCGCCCATTTGTTTTTTTATATGGGGAGGGGTTTGGGTTTTATATGGGGGGTTGGGTTTGGGTTTTATATGGGGTGGGGTTTGGGTTTCGGTTTATATAAGTAATAATATTAGTTCTAAATTTAATTAAAGTAAAAATAGTTTTCTATTTCTTATGCAAGGAATATAGTTTTAACTTTTGGAATATGCTAGTTAGTTGTAAGTTTTTGGGATATAGAACTAACTTTTGGAGGTATATTTGCAATTTTAAACAATATACTTGTAATATTTTGAGAGATGTTTGTCATATTTTGGGGTATATTTGCAAATGTAATAAGTATTTAATTCAATACTGATCTAAAGTGAATTATTTTATATATACAGCCGTGTCCCCGTACCCTACTTTTTTACAAATTTGTCATGTCCCGTACCCGTATCTAGGCAACATAGGTTTGAACAGATTAACCATGCTTAACCATTAGAAGCCGGGAAGAATGTAGTTTGTATTATGCGGATTTTGGGCTACTCATGGCTGTGGAATCTTCGATTTGTTCCATAAAAAGGTCAAAAGAGTTTGTCTAAGTTATAGTTGTATAAAGATGTGTAGGTATCTTTTATGCTGAATTGAGCTTAGAAGAACTCTCTGGTTTAGGTCAAACTTCCCTAGTATACAAACATGGAGATGAGCTCCTACATGTACAATATGGACATGCATATATTCAAATAATGAATAGCTAATTAAGTTTTTTGTTTTTCCTTTTCTTGTGTGGGGACGTGTAAAAGAATTTGATGTGTGTGCGTGTGTTTGTTTGTGTATATATTCTTTCCACTATGTAGTATTTCCACATACACCGTTTTATCAATGTTTAAAAAAGCGGAAGTGAAACGCAAAGCGTTTGACCCTTTATTGAAACGAGACATAGGCTTCAAAACGTGAGGCTTAAGCCTCATGAGTTGAAGCATTTTAATTTTAAAATCTGTAAAAATTATGAACATATAATATATTATGGTCTAATAGTTTACAAATAGATACATTCATGTCCTGATTAGTCAATAAGAATTAAATATGCGAAGTACAGATGCAAATCACAATAAACTAAGCTACATGCATAACATATACATACATACATGTATACATATATACAATGTTTTAAATATCGGATATCGGGGAAATATCGGATGACCAAAATTCATATCGGATTGCGGATATCGGGGAAATATCGGGGATATGTGGTAAATATCAGAATGCTATAATGAATGTTTGCTTACATAGTATAATGCATTAAAATGTAATCTCAACATATGTAATGAAATTTAAGCATACAAAATATGAATAATATATGTTTAGGATCGCTAATCAACCTTCTAAAACAAACAAAAGTGCAAAGCAACGTTGCAACATTCGATCTGCTTTTTTTAGGGCAAAATATCATTTGATATAATGGGAAAATCTTGATATCTCGCCCAAAAATTCCAAACACGGTATATTATTTTGCAACAAGCTATATAAAAAGATATATTGGTCCACATATCGGCTAATATATCGGCCATATCGGGGATTTATCACTCAAAATAGCCAAAAAGCGGTAAAGGATATTTAAAGACCATATCGGTTGCGGCAAGTCCTGTAAAAGGATATATCGGGGGATATATCGGGCCATGTCGGGGATATTTAAATTTTAAAATCTGTAAAAATTATGAACATATAATATATTATGGTATAATAGTTTACAAGTAGATACATTCATGTCCTGATTAGTCAATAAGAATTAAATATGCGAAGTACAGATGCAAATCATAATAAACTAAGCTACATGCATAATATATACATACATACATATATACATATATATACATACATGCATATATACGTACACATTTTTGTGTGTGTATTGGCTGCATGGGTATTTGTGTGGTGTGTCTGTCTCTGTGTGTTAATTATTTATACCCACATGGTCATATTGAAGATACATAGATGCATAAAGTTAAAAATCGTTTTATATCCTCCTATCTTGTCCGAAGTGCGCGCATCAAAAGAGAAGCGCTTTATGAAGCGTGAAGTGCACACATCAATTATGCTTTAAGCAATGAGACATAAGCTTCAAGGGATAAATTGGTTCACTCTTGATTTTTGAAGTGTTTGCGCTTTGAATTTTTTTGAAGCGAGCTTTAAAAAAGCTTGTTCAAACTATAAACTCCATGATTACAACCATCTGCAGATCATAAGCGTGATGCAGCTAGAGCGGAGGATGCATTCTCTCTTTCTTACGGAAGTGAACTAATTGGCATGCAGAGAGACTGGAATGAGGAATTACAATCCTGTCGTGAGTTTCCTCATACAACTCTTCAGGAAAGGTATGTTATTCATTTTAGTTCTATTTTATGCTTGTTTAATTGTCTTTTGCTGCTACCTATTGTTGTGGCAGTTAAGTTGATTTTGTGAGGATATTATCTGCTAATCTTGGTTTCTCTGGTCAATTTTAGATTTTCCATAGTTTTAATTTCTTGTCTCCTGCTGTCAAACAATTACTTCATCACTTATTTGGTTTCATTTTTCAGGATCTTGCGTGATCGTGCTCTATATAAAGTGACTTGTGATTTTGTCGATGCGGCAACTAATGGTGCAATTGGGGTCATCAGCAGATGTATCCCCCCTATTAATCCAACGGATCCAGAGTGTTTCCATATGTGAGTCCGCTTAGAAGTTTTTGCTTCATATGCCATGTTTCTATTTGTTAGAAAATCTACAGAAATTCCCTTCTATGTTCTATTTTCCTCTGCAATTAAATGATTGTATTTTCTTCAAGATTAGTTCATTATAGGGCATTTCAATTTCATCCTATGACCTTTCAGGATGAACTTTTGACCTTGTGCAGTTTGCAATCCTGAACATAAAAATGACCATCACATGTAGTTTCTGTGTTGTGCGTACTTTTTTGTTTTCCTCAGATATGTAATACGGCAAATTTGTTAATCATGAAGCTCCGTCCAGTATCATCTGATATTGTCTGAATACTTGTTATAGTTTGAAATTTTTTATAGGTGGTACTTGTCAGCCCAATAGTCTGTACTTAGTTCTAATTTATCTTCTGAACGTATTCAAATTGGAGTTTGTAAATGGCAATTACTTGTCCATCACACTGTACATTTTCCGCTCTTAACCTCTCCTGAATCATGAGAGCATCTGATATTTTCAAGATGCTTGCAATATGCCTATTACCTGGTGAATTTAGTAACAGGATTCAAGGCATTTTTTTCCCGCAGCATAGTACTGGCTGAAATTTTTCTACACTGCTAGTTGGTTCCAGTTTCTAACTTGATCAGCACTCTCAAATTAGCAGGTTGGACTGATTCGTTACATAAATACAGAATATTTTGAAATCATTTTTGAATTGTAAGTCAAACATTAGACTTTTCATTTATCATCTTCTTTTACATCATTTCCGTCTATAACAGTTATACTCTCTGTAATGAAGTTGGGACTTGAATCCTAGACTCTTCTTCAATGAGATTGAAAGTTCGTGAGTATGGTGCACATATCAAATCAGCCTTTGAATTAGTTTAAAATTTTCACCTGACAGCAATTAGATGGAACTTCTAACAATTGCTGTCTATTTATATTTCTACTTCCAGCTCTTCCTTTCCAGGAAACTTAGGAGCAAAGAAACTCTATTCCTTATAAACAGTCTAATGTGGCTACATGAGATGAAATGAAGATTTCTCTGAAACTGAAACATCACAAAGTCATTGAACCATTGTTTGCATAGCCTCATTTCTTTGCTAACTGAGATGAAATAGAAAAAAGTTACCATGTGTTCCATTGTCTCCTTCTGGTTAAAACTGATTTTTCCATCACATTCATTAGGGTCACAGTTTTCCTGTTAGCTTGCTCACATTTCTCTTTCTTTTCTATGTCATGACTATATACTGAAGACTTCATTCTAGAGCTATATTTGCTGCTCTTTCCGCGCAAATCACACTGCTACTGCTTACTGAATATGTGTCCTTGCTAATAATGCTGCCTATATGTATCGGTTTTACACTAAAGATTAGTATAGAGAGTATATATATGCATATGCAATGTCTTTGACAACAATTTAGTTTGAGTAGGAAATAATGTGGTTTTCTTTTTTACTTGTTCTTCTTTCAGGTATGTACACAACAACATATTCTTTAGCTTCGCTGTTGATGCAGACCTTGGACTGATATCTAAAGGTCAAACTAGTACTATTTCTAAAGCTGCAGTGCATTATAAAAATTCAGCGCCTTTATCTACGTCCTCTGTGAAAGCTTCCAGTACTTCAGGTCGTGGGTGTAATGGTGAAACCAATGCGTATGACAGTGCAAGAACAGAAATCGAGGGTCTTGTTGATGATAACTTATCCGCTGCCAGTGATGCACAAATTGCTGACAGTGAGCAGGCTACATATGCTTCTGCTAATAATGATTTAAAAGGAACCAGAGCTTACCAAGAAGCTGATGTTCCTGGGCTTTATAATCTTGCCATGGCAATAGTTGATTACAGGGGGCATAGAGTAGTGGCACAGGTTTGACATAAAAGCCATTTTCTAATGCTATTCAATTCTTTTAATTGAGTTTGCACGTTTGTGGTCCATGTGACGTATTGTTACTGCATGATATAGTTTCTAATGTACCTGTTTGAATTGTCCAAGTAACTTGTCTATTACTCATTTGGAAGCTGTGGGCTCAACAAGTAATGGCACTCTATTGGTAGATTAGTCATCAATGGTCACCGCTGTCTATTTGATATTTATTGCATCATCTTTTCTGGTGCATATATTCTTTTGGCTTTGTGGCTAGTTTTTACACAGTACAATGGAGGTACTATGCCTTTATATGCTATTCTTCTTTATCTTCCAATATATACGCAAAATGGAGCATCTGTCCATATCTTACAATTGCGGGCATGTGGATACATCCGGGATATATGAAAATGCAACAACAGTTGATACACATTGATTTCGATGCAGGGGTTTGTATGGATATTTTGCTCTTTTTTCTGCTTGTGTGATTGCGTGTGCCTGTGTGCCAGTTAGTAATTTGTCCATTGGATTGGGTAGGGGATTATTGGAAATGATCAGGATTCTACATCGTTTCCTAATTTTAATGGCATTGCATTTCTAACTAGCTGTCTGCTTTATAGCAAACATGTTTTTCATGTTAATTCTTCTCTTCATTCTTATATACCCCTGCAGAGCATCATACCTGGCATCCTTCAAGGTGATAAATCAGATTCCCTTCTATATGGTTCTGTTGACAACGGAAAGAAAATATGTTGGAGTGAATCCTTCCATTCCAAGGTGAGATGTTTGTTTGGTTGTGCGTTACCTTCAAAGAGCCTGCAATTTTTGTTTATTATTAAACCTGCTACTCTTTTATGTTTTTGTATTCTACTTTAATTCAGCAGCTTCACAATTATTCTTGTATGGATGACATTAATCAAATTAACTACCCAAGAACTTTTTCACATGTTTTTACTGATTTTTTTACTTTTTTTACCACCATCATGAATATTGATTCATTTAGAAAGATCAACTTCAGAGGTAGGAAATTCTCAGGCAATCAATTCTCTAACGGTCAGCTGTGATGGGTATATGAATGCTGTTTCTTTTTTCGTTAGCATCCGTTAACCCCTACACGTTAGTATTGGAGTAAGTAGTAACTTTATAGATCCATTCATCATTATTCAAATAACAACTATTACATTAGAACTCATACCACTTCAAATAAGCCTAGTGGCTACATGCATCACTCATTCCTATCAAGGTATCTCCTCATCGTGCTTTCTTTCATTTCAGAACTTTTCACAAAATCCTATTTATGTTGGGTATTTTTTTGAACCCTTTCCAGACGTTATTAACAGCTGCCAGCCGTTTGTTTTGGTCCTTTTTTGAACCCGATGACATCAAAACCGAGATCTTTTACTCGGTCATACCAAAAAATTCATTGCATCTCATCTTAATTAGATGCTCCATGCCTTTGTCTTTATTTTCTAGATCTATTTTTTGCTTTTCGACAGTAATGGCAAACAAACAATAGTATTGCTATGGAGGACCTTCCGTTAAGTTAGTTAGGATAAATATTGTTAAGTGTTAGCTTTTAATTCAGTTGCTTTTCAGCTTTTGATTTGTAAAACTAGTCTAGTTTTTAGATTTTTTTTGTTAGGATGAAGTGATTTAAATTTGATTTGATTTTTTCCAACTTTATATGTGATTGATTTGTAGTAAGGTTGATTTCTATTACGTGGGAGTCAAGGGTGTCGTGTAAAATCAGAGTGAAGATGAATTGATCTACTTTGTTCATTTATTTTTACTCCCTTTACGTTTAGTTAAATTGCTATTTTATGTGAAATCCTTAATCTGCTAAATTTATTCACATAAGTTTCTTTCTGTAATTTCTTTTTGTAGAATGATGCTGTACTTCATCTTTGCTTTGCATGGAATCTTAACTTTCTCTCCATTTCCTAGGTACTAGAGGCTGCTAAAAATCTCCATTTGAAGGAGCACACTGTTGTAGATGGTTCAGGCAATGTTGTCAAATTAGCTGCTCCAGTGGAATGCAAGGGTATTGTTGGCAGTGATGACAGGTAACATTGAGTTAGTCATTTCACTAATCGTCGTGAGCTTTTTTTTGCCCCTTAAAAAGTGTTTTTTTGTCTGCATTACACATATAATTACAGGGTTGAGCTTCATTTGACTGGTTTTTTTTGATTGTGTACGTGCGTGTTGGTGGGGTTTTTTTTTTTTTTTTTTTTTTTTGGGGGGGGGGT